TTAGGGATTAGGTTTCAGGGTTTTGTGGCACACAGAGCAGAGCTCCTGCGCCGGCTGAGCGAATCGCTGCCGTGTGGGCCTCAGCTCAACAAAAAGGGCTTTCCCAAAATTAGGGGAATTTAATCTGGCCTGTGGACTCTAGTATTTTGGGGTCTGTATTGGAGTCCCCCTACTTAGGGGAACTACCAAGTATCAGGTCATCTGCCAAGCTGCACAAAGGCAACGGATTTCCCACTTTCTGACTAGCAAGGATTATTTTCAAACCTGCCCACGTGATCCCTATGCAACGCCCGTAAAATCCCAGCAGATTCCCACTAGAATCCGGGATAATCCGGCACAATCCCCGTAATATGTTCCCATGTAACGCCCGTAGAATCCCCGTAATGTTCCCATATGACTCCCAATACAATCCCCGCATAATCTTTATGCAAGCCGCCATAGGTTTGGACCTTCGATTCCTCGAGCGGGCAGCTGGGTTGCTGTTAAGAAGTTCAAATTCATATGGGTATGTAGTACATGATAGAGTTTCCTTATTATAGTTATCCCAAACCCTAAGCCCTATATACCCTCATTATTTAGAATTGATTGAAGTTCCTCAGCCTAAACCCTAAACCTCGAACCCTAAACCCTAAACCGTAAACCCTAAACCATAAGGCTTAAACCCCAAACCCTAAACCCTAACCCCTAAACCCCAAACCCTAAACCCTAAACCCTAAGGCTTAAATCCCAAACCCTGAACCTCAAACCCCAAAGCCAGGCAGTTTGAGAAGCTCTGCGATGGGGGCCCTGCTCCGGCGGGCCACGTGGCGGCGGCGGACTTTGAAGCGCAGCGTCTGGCTGGGCAAACTACACGTAGATTAGGTTCATACGGTTCATACAAGGGAACCCATCGGGGTAATATGAGGATTAAATTGGGATAATGGAAAATAAGATGGAAACTACAATGTAGGGTTTAGGGAACCCATTGGGGTAACACGGTGAATACTGCATTACCCTAGGGACCATATACCTTGGGAATTATGGTGCTATAGTATACTAAGGTCATGCAGGATTTGTAGTATCAACAGTATAAGGGTTAGATTGGGATAGTGGTAATAGAATGGAAGCTGCTATTCAGGGTTCAGGGTTCATGGTTTAGGGTCTGTAGGTTCATACTAGGTTCATAGGAGGCTAACAATAGATTCGCAGGAGGTCAGAATCAGGGTGTTTATAGAAAATGACTCAATTTTGCTTGATTTGAGCTTCTCAAATTGAAATAAAATGGCCAGGTCTGGTGGTGTGCTTTGGAGTCAGGCGGTCACAGCCACCTGGCAGAAAGCAGAGAGGCTCTAGACTCTGGCCTAAACACGAATCTTGCCTTAAAACTATTATTATTGTCATTGCAATTAGTATTACCATTATGATTATTGTTACTATGACTAATATTATTGGTATTACAACCATGATTGTTGTTATCTGCATGGCACTGCTGAGACGTGTGAGCCTTTCACTTCAGTGATTCCAGGCCGTTCATTGAGGACAACTTCATGAAGACCACAAGCGTGCTGGATCTGCGAATGGGGCGCTGGGATGATGACGCATGGAAAGGTGTGGCCATTATTGTTCTTAATGTTGTTCTTACTGTCATTAGTACAGTTGTAGTTATGATTATTTGGCTACTATTATCGAATCATTATTATTATTACTACTATGATGACGCGTGGAAAGGTGGGGCACAAGACCCACAGGATACGCCGAGTGCAGCTCCGCTTGCCCGACGCAATGCCGCTGCTGCATCACTTGGGCACAGAATCATTGTCTCCGGTGGGTACAATGACGAGGAGTTCAGATCACTTGAGGACACATGGTCCTTCAACATGCGCACTGGCAGGTGGGCGCAGATAGCCCAGCAAGGCGCGCCTCGCATGGAGGGTCACAAGGCTGTTGCCAGTGGATTGGACATCTTCACTTTCGGTGGGCATGCGCTGTTAGGCCGATTTCCGCGGCCCACCGTGTCTGTACATAGATTAGCTTTGGGTAAGGCCGACCCATTGCAAGCGTATTCGGCTGCTCCTGAGAGCAGGTCAAACCTGAAATCAAGCGAGAAGGACAGCTCTTCTCAGGGCTATCCCTCGCAGCATCACGAGTAAAAAACGTGTTCTGATCCTGCAGTTTCCCGCGCATCATAAACTCTGAGTCAGGCGGCAAACCCGACCTTGTCTACAGCCCAGTTTCTCCTGGTGTTGCTGTTTAGGGGGTTAAATTAAGTTACCATATCTTGTACATGCAACAAGTCATATGGTTCCCCCATTATAGCAACGTAAAATAAGTTCCTTAACAGCAACCCAGATTTATTTGTATTGGGGTACATACTTACCCAGTTGGGTGCTTTGACGCTGGACTGCTGGACTACTGAGTCGGACCGCCTCGCTGCCGCTGCCGAGTACCGGCGTTGGGCCTTTCTCTCAGGTTTGGGGGTTAGTAGGGAATAAGGGAGTATAGGGATAAAGGAAAAGAAAATGGAAACTGCTAACATTATAATAGAATATATTTTGGGGTGAGTAGGGAACAAGGGAATATATGAGGGATGCGGCTGCGGGTAGCTTCTGCCTTTTCTCGTTGAGGTCAAAGAGACCGATGTCGGACTTGAGCCGCGCTCCCAGTCTCAGCAGACCTCCGCTTGCCTGCTGCAACTTGCTGAGGCCCGATGAGGCGCAACCTGAGAGGGATACGGTTTAGGGTTTAGGGTTTAGGGTTTAGATCAGGAAGTGTATGCTGTCCATGGGCTTGTATTTCAAGGGCCTGAATGGTTGCCACTATTATGTTCATGGATTCCGTGTAAGATTCTGGTATAGGGTGCCTCAAGAAAGGCGCTCAACACAACATTGATTTTAATTTAGGACCCTACCTTAAATACCCCCTTTGCGTTGACCCCAGCTTCCATTTCACTTTGATTCTCCATTATTGGGATGAAATGCGCCTATATAACCTTTCCCAGCCCCCATATGTCCTAAACCCTAAACCCTACCAAGTAGTTTCCAGTCGCTTTTCCAGCATCCCTACATAACCCCAAGTTTTTCAACTCTAAGCCCGCGCACGAATCGAGAAGTGTACCAGTTGGCAATACTAGTTGCCATTTCATGTTCCATTCCACTATGTAATCCTGTTTATCCATATATGTATAAACATATGTCTGTATATTTATATATATACACACACATTTTTATAGATAGATAGATATATAGATAGATATCCCACAATTCCTGTCAAAATATGGCGTTTGCCAGACCATGCCTTCCTTCACGCAGCTGTGGGCAGAGCTCAACAAGTCGCAATGCTCAGAGCGCAGGATTGAGGTAGGCTCCGTTGCCTACTCTGGTTGCCGATGCATTTGGTAGCTTGCAAGAATTGGTGGGTTTAGGGTTTAGGGTTTAGGGTTTAGGGGAGGGGTCCCACTTACCCCAACGTGAGCTCATCCACATGCAATGGACCACAAAATGGGCCCCCGGTGTTTGGAAACCACCGTCTTACACCGCTTGCATCATAAACCCCGAGGCAAGCTGCCGTGACCGAGAAAGGACGTCTCATGCACAAACCAAGTGGTAGTTCCCCAAAATAGGAGGACCCCGATATAGACCCCAAAACATTAGAATCCTTATTATGGGGATGCCCACAATTGTACCTTAAATCTAGGGAGAATCTAGGGAAACATGTAAGTGGGCTGTGGGAACGGACGCGTTTCTCAGTCATGTGATAGTTATAGGGTGCTAATTTTGGCTGGAAGGGTGGGGGGTCACTAAACTCGGCTTTGAATACATGCGCTTCCATAGCTTGTGCTTCGCATCCGATTGTCATTCCAATCTTCAGGACAAACTTCAACGATTGCAAAAGATTCAGAAGCTTCAGAAGCTCCAGAAGCTTCAGAAGCTTCAGAGAATGCAAAGCCATCGTCCAGCGCAGAGCGGGGCAAGAGGCAACCCAGGCTTTGCTACATGGCTTCAGACATGCTGACGTTTTTGCCAGGTATGACAACTGGTACAACTGGAAGTGTCAGACTGAGAAAACACAGGAAGTTGCAAGCCTAGTCAGGGGTTGATTTGAAAAAAAGTCTTTCAGTAAAGTGTTATTCCCCCAAATCCCTGTATATTCCTTCTAAAGCCATAGAATCACAGGACCAATGAATCAACCCTAGTGGCCACTGGCGCTAGTAAAAGCAGCAGCCAGCGTGATCTGCCAGGCCCAGGTGGCATTCGGCACAAGAGGTGGGTTTCCTTACATATATATATATACACATATATTTATATATCTGCACATATATATAGATATGTAGCGCTGTATATATATATATACACACATGCTTACATCTTAATGTATATATGTATACACATGTGTGTGTAGGGTTTAGGGTTTAGGGTTAGTAGGGAATCAGGGAATTCTAGGGGGATAATGGAATGGAATAATATAGGGATTGTATTCCCTCATTGCCTACTAAGAACCAGTGAGAAGGATGGCCGTGCTGTTGCAGCGCGAATAAACCTGCGTGACCCTACCATATAGCTTGGGAATTATGATCCTACAGAATACTAAAGTCATGCCGGGTTTTAGCATCAACAGAAGTAGCTATAGTCTAAACTCCTAGTATATATAAGCATCCTTCAAGGAGTTTAGATCCTAAACCCTAAACCCTAATTTATATAATCCCCTATATAACCACCCATAAAGGAGTTTAGACGAGAGCTTATCTGATGAGCTGTCAGACTCTGCAGCTGCTCCTGGACAGTTTGCGCTCGCTGGAGGCCATTGGCCTCAAGGGGTCAGCAACCTTGAGGGGAATGTACAGGGTTTTAGGGGGGACCTATTAAGGGATACTAGGACTTTAAGTCCAAGACTCATTTCGGGATCTATGTTTATATATAGAGAGCTTAAGGAGTGGGTCAGCAACCAGGGGGGTGCTATATGCAAACTAGGTGAATACAGGGACTATATGAGCTACGGACTAAAGTTAGGTCAGGGGGAGCTGTAGGGTTAGGGGGCCCAATTGAGAGATATGCTAGGACTTCAGTTCAGGGCTCACATCTGGATCTATACTTATTTAGAGAGCTTGAGGAGTTAGGGAAGCCAAAGGCATACTGTTAGGGCTTTAGGGTTCAGGGTTTGGGGTTGAGGAGTTTAGAATTTTAGGGTTTAGAGCATCAAATGGACAAGAAATGGACACTGTTATTGAGGCCTTAGGGCTCGGGCTATGTCCGTGACTGAAGGGCTGAGGCTAACTAAGTAGATTAAAAGGAAATCAAAAACAAAAATCAAATGGGCATTGGAATGGAAACTGGATTTTTAAGTGCAAGGGTACAGGAGATTTTCATTTGCATCACCTGACTGTGTATTTTGCTCAGAGAAACCTAGAACCCTCCTCATCCTACGTGGTAGTCTCCAGCAGAGTAGGCAAAGCCTGGTAGAAGACCTTGTTTTGCTGGGTTGGTGTTAAGGAGCTGGATTTAAGTTGCTATACTTAATGGATGGAACAAAGACAAGTGGCCAAGGTAGCAGAAGAGTTTGAATTAGCAAATCACCTCAGCAAGGAAATCAAAAAAGCAGTAAGAGAAGACAGGCTGGAACAAACCAAGGCCCAATTGGAAGAATTACAAGATCAGAAATACAAGTGGTCAGGCTTAAAGAATTTACGGGCAAAGCCGAGATTGAAATTCACAAAGTTCAAGGATAAAGATGGTAATAGAATTCCAAGCACGCAATACCCACAAAAAGCAGCAGAATATTTGGCAGAACAGCAGTGGAAGTGTCAGAGTGACATACTACCGCCTTCAAAGAACAATCCTCAGACCTTCCGACAAGAACACAATGAAGTAAACGATGCCCCTTTCACGATGCAGGAGCTTAACAACATTATTGCCAAACAAAACAACAACAAAACCCCTGGGTCGGATCAACTAAGAGCAGAATTCGTA